GCGCCCGGGGGCCCTCCCTGGCCGATTCCGACGCCCAGGCCGGCGACCGAGCCGGCGCCCGGGCCGGACCCGAGCCGGCGCCAGGGCGGGCGCCCGGGCCGGGTCCAGAGCCAGTTCTGGCCGGCGCCGGAAAATCGAGTTCCGAGGCGGCGCCGAAAAAAGGCCATTCCAACACATTTTTCTTTGGAAAATGCTGAATTTCTGCTTCTGGCGCCCGGGAAGAATCGTGCTCCCGCTGCAGCGGTGGCCTCATTTCCGCGTTCCCGCTCGTGTCGACTCGTGCTCCCGCTGCAGCGCTGGCGTCATTTCCCGTGCCATGCTAGGTTGATACTACGCTTCGCCGTGCTCTTCTACGCCATGCGACGCCGTGCTCTACAATGCATCGCGTACATTTTCGGGATCATTGCCCAACTCGACATCCGAGGGGATCTGCGCCAGGGTAAGGGATGGGAGGGAGGGGTAGGATGTCAGATATGACGCGAGCGCACCTAGCTTGACCCACCCCGTCCCCGCCTTCCCCAGTAGAGCCACTTGCCCCCCCCACTCCAGCATAGCTGAAGCTCAAGCTTTAGATCTCTGAGAAATTTTTGCCGTTTCGCGTATCCCCACCAGTTCGCGTCTCCAGAAGACCCTGGGAGGAGTGTTCAGCCGCGTCTGGCACGCCTGCACCCGCGAGCACCCAGCCGGGGCCAAAGGCCCGAAGAGCGACCCCGTTCGAAACCCCAAAGCCACCTGCCGCAACTTCCTAGACGCCTGGAAGCGCTGCGGGTGCGACGCCTACGAAATGGACCGCCGGCACGAGCTCCAGGTCAACAGGGACCGCGAGCGCAACAAGTGGTCAGGGAACCAGGGCAAAGGCGCTCCCCAGCCCAAGGGGCACGGGACAAGCTCCCGGCAACCCTGGGGCTGGGACGCCTGGTCCTGGTCGCAAGCTTGGGACGGCGACGACTGGCAGACTGGCGTTGAAACAGCGGCTTCCGTAAGCGAAGGCCCTCCGCCACGCCCTTGCCGGCTCCCCCCGTGCGCCCTTCCCTCTCTGCTGAGCCGCCCCACGCTGCTACGGCCGCAGGCGGTGCAACCTCCAGACCTTTCCCGGCTCCTGGGTGCTGACCAGCACGGGGCCGTAGTGGGCTACAGAGCCGGGGGCGCCACGCCTCGAGCAAGGCGACGCACCTCGGACGCGCCAGTTCTGACGCCCCATTGGGCACCCCTGGCACCCAGCAGTTCGCAAAGAGGAAAAGGGCCCGTTAAGCCGAAAGACGTCCGAGTGACGGTCTCACCGAGCAACACGGCAGCTCTCAGTGGCGACAGGTATTCAGGGCTGCGCCCCCTTCCCCCGCAGACGGCCCAGGCATACGTGCCCTCTGACGTTCGAGTCCCGAGGCCCTTCTGGGCACCCCTGGCGCCCCCACCCCCCGTTCTCTGGCAGCCACCAGGAGCGTGACTCACAGCAGCGCCCGACAGCAGCGCCCGACAACAGCAGACAACGCAGTGTTGTCTATTTGACTCGCAAGGAGAAAGAAGGCCCGTTAGGCCAGAAGGGTTTCGGCCACATCAGTTTTCTCAGAGTGTGTTATCAGTTGGCAACCAGTGGCCGTTAGCCATCCCTGGCGTTGAATGCAGGCATCATTGGCTAGTGATTGTCTGGCGCGGGGGCCCTCGCCGCAGGCCCCCGCCATGTTTCACACTAGACGCAATGCGCCGCGTATGGACGCGGTGGTCGTTGCAGGACTTGCAGACAGTGCAGCTACCCCTGATGCCTCTCTCTGCCCAGCCTCCGCTGCTCCCCGCCGTTAAGACTCGGGCAGCGGCCTGCTGACAATATTGGCTCGTGGACTGCCGCTGGGGCTGTGGTCCACCTGTCCCCCGCTGGCCTCCTGCCCGTTGCAGTTGTTCTCGCGCTTGGCGCGTCACCCCACCGCGCCCCAGGGCGACCTGCCGCGCTGGGGCGGCCCCCCCCGCGGCTGGCCCCCCGGTTCTCCCGCCGGTGTCTGTGGGACCAATCCCCCACCAGCCCCGGTTCCTTCATCCCGCGCAAATCGCGGTTACATTCCCCTCGAGGGTGGGGGCTACGGGGGCCCGTGGTTCAGTTCAGCCTGGGCATCTCTCCGTGACTCCACCACGCTGCCGCGACTTCGGCTGTTGCGATGGCGTCCGCCCTCCTGCCGTCTTGGGGTCGGCTCTGCGGTGCGCGTCACTGGTCGCGTTGGTACGCACGGGGGTCGACCCGCACTGGCTAGCCGACGGTTAAGATGTGGCCGGGGTCGCTCTCTCATTGCCTGCCTATGTTTTGTTCGCGTCAGTCGCCAGCCCTGGATGGTCGACCGCGGACTGCGCCCCGGGCTTGGGTGTGCGATTTTACTGGCGCCACCACCTGCACGCGCACGACCTTGGCAGACGCACCGTGGTGCTCCTGCGCGCCATTTTGGCTGCGCTTCAGCTTCGGCTGGCCAATTCACTCGCCCACAACTCGCCTCGTGAAGGCTTCGGCCCACCTGGCTCTGGCCACCCTGGTACTTTCGCAGCCCCTCGGGTGCTCACCCTCGGCATCTAATTCACCAGCAGCTTGCAGACCCTGGCAGTCGGCCTCCCTGGCAGCCAGCCCCCTTGTGCAGCTCGCTGCATGCGTGCAACCCCTGACAGTGCAGCAACCCGCTTCCCTCTTCGGCTTCCTCCCGGTCCCGTTCTGAGTTGCAGTGTTAGGCTTGCTCCTGGTTAATTAGGCCCTCGCGCGCCCCGCCCGGACCCTGACTCGCCGCTGTGCGCTCTCGCCTGCGGCTGCCGACAAAAAAAAAACAATATCCCCACCAGTATTCGTCTTTGCGCGACCCGCTCTGACTCGACTCGCCGTGTGCGCTTTCGCTCGCGGTTGCTCACAACAAAAATATATCCCCACCAGGCATGTGCCCGCCCTGGACCAGTTCCCTTGCAGCTGCAGCCTGCGCCCCCCCTCTCGCCGACCCGCCCGCCGAGGCGCTGCGTGAGGTCGCCGGCCCGTCGGCGTTAGGTAATTCGTCTTTGCGCGGCCCGCTCGGACCTGACTCGCCGCTGGTGTTCCCGCCTGCGGCTGCGACAAAAAAAGTATTCCCACCTGTGCTTCCCTCGGCGGCAGGTTTGCAGTTGCCTGCGCGCGCGCTAGGCAATTAGTTCCGCTCGCAGCCCTAACCGACCTGTAACGCCGCCGGCGCTTTCGCTTGCGGTTGCGACAGACAAATCTCCACCAGCCCATCCAGAAGAAGATCGCCAGGCGAGTTGCCTTGATCAGGGAAGTGTAGAAGAGTGCAGTGCAACCACCACCTGGGAAACGTGTTTTTTCTTCCCTTTCAGGGGGTCTTTTGGAGCCATCTTGGAGTTTTTTTGGGGTCCTCGCAGAGCCTCATGGGGCATTTTTGAATCCTTCTTGGGGCTCTCTTGGGGCCTGTTTGGGGTCCTCTGGAAGTTCGGTGGGGGTGTCTGCCAGGCATCTTGGCGCCATCTTGGCCCCCATGATTTAAACAAAAGGGAGGGTAGGACATGAAGGTCCCCCCCTGGGAGGCTCAATGCCTGCGTTTTTGGGCGCTCTTGGGGCGCTTTTGGGCGCTATTGGGACTACCTTGGGGTTTTCTGGGGCCCCTCTTGGAGCTCGCTTGGGCCGTTTGGGTGTCATTTTGTGGCCTCTCGAGCCTACCTGTATTGACACCATGTTGTTTTGCCACACGTTGTTGTAGATGGGTTGGGCACGGCCTTGTTTTGTATTGTGTGTGTGTGTTCGCCCACGGTGTCCTCGTAGGGGTCAGTTTCTGGGGTGTTCTTTGGAGGGCAGATGTTACGGCCTGTTTGGGAGATGTTCGAGCCTTCGGTGTTAAGCTGAGCCGACCTTGCTTGCTCGCGAAGCTTGCTTCTTCCGCTACTACTTTCAACCAGTTGTGGGTGGAACAAAAAAACCCGATGTCCGCCTGGGCCCCCGTCGGAAAAGCGGACATGCGAGCGCAATGGCGCGCGCGGTCGTGCGCGACCCGCCGCTGGTAATAACGTGACTGCGCGGGCGTCGCGGCGACGATGACGGCGACGACGACGGCGGCGTCTGCGCCGACGGTGACGACGACGGCAGCAACGGCAAGTGCGGCGACGACGAACATCGCGGCGACGGCGGCGACGGGGCCTGGGCCCATGGGCGAACTTGCGCCCCGCCCTCGTGCCTGGAGTCCCGCGCAGCATTTTATGGGAGGAGCGAATTTGTTGTGCGCGGTTTTACCCCAGCCGTCTCTCCGATTCACTCATGCTTTCGCTTTGCTTTCAAAAAATGTCGCTTTCGGAGTGTATTGAGTGGCGCTCCTTTACTAAAGCCGTGTCTTCGCTTTAGTAAAGCCGTTTTGCTGTGCTTTGGACAAGGCCAATCCCTCGTTTTAGTGAAGCCGTTTCGTCGTTTCAGTGAAGTCCGCGGTCTGCCTTAGTAGAGCCCTGGGGATGTTTAGGTGGTGCGGGGCCAAGGCGGGGTCGGCACAGTCTTCCCTGCCAGTTCACCCCGCGATGCGGTTGCTCGAGTAAGAAATGTCGCGTTACATCGGGTCGCGGCGATCCTTGGACATTGTTGTGGGTGCTCCTTGATCAGAAATTCAGGGCGCGAGCGCAAAACGTGGTTCGGCAATTCGGACGTGCCGCCGCGGTTGTCGCGCATCAGAGCAGCAACGCTTTACTAAACTTGTTCCCTTTACCGAATAGCTCTTGCAAGGTCGTAGTGTGAATTATCCGTTTCCTATAATTCCAGCCAAGTGAGGAATGGTACACATTGTATTGGAGCCGCCTGGGGTCTACGACGCGCGTTCCACGTGTGAGGTGTGCGGGGTGTGGAGGGAGATTTTCGGACGACGCCCGTTCTGGATGAAGGTGGTGGTCGCCCCGAAAAGCATGGAGCAACCATGCCCATGCCGCACAGCCAAAAGGCACTATGACATGCCCCACCGAGCCGCAGGTACGGAGGCGGATGCCCGCCCCAGTTGCTGGTTCGGCTCAAGGGTGCTATGGGGCCGAGCGCCAAGGCAGGCTCTGGCGCCCCGTATTCCAGCGCTCAGGATGCAATTCCTCGCAAGGCCATGTTTCAGCATCGGCGCATCGGCGCTGGCGCAACCGTGGTCGACAACCGGCCCAATCCGGCATACAGGGGAGGCCCATGCCTAGAAACACCTTGTTTGCCTCCAGGGTGCCTTGGTGTTTGTTTGTTGGATTTCGATGGTTTCGTTGTAGACATCGTGACGTGCGATGCCAAAATAAAAGGGACGTACTGGGCTCTCGGGCTCGGGATTTTGTGGAGAGTTTCTCGTGGTCGGGCCCGTACTGCAATCCGGTCTATTTCGTTTCATTTCGGCGAATGTTGTAGAGCCCGTCGGAATCCCAGGGTTTCTCTGGCCTCGTGGCCCCCTCATCGGGCGCATTGTCCCCAATCGTTTTCACAGAGGCCTCCTACAGGCGCTGCTTCCTAGCAGCGCCGCGGGCCCCTCGGCCCTCGCCCCATGATGGAGGCACCGGCACGCCTTGCCCAACGACGGCTGGACGGCCAAATCTGCTGTGCAGCTCCGCGTGTGCCCCGCGAGCGCCCGCGCCGCGCGCCGCGCCAGAGCCTGCGGCCCGAACCGCAGCTGCCCGCCGCCGGCGGGCAGCTGCTGCGCCGGTGCCCTCGGCTGCGCCGGCACGCCCAGCTCTTCGCACGGCTGGCGCCGCCGAAGATCGAAGGACAGACAACTACATAAACACAAACTTTATGCGCTCCGCGCGGATCTCTTGGATCCGCGTTGTGGCCCACGTGGCGGCGCCTCTAGCGCCGCCATTGGCGCGCTCCGCGCGCCAGGGACGGGGGGTCAGCGCGGATCCAAGAAATCCGCTTGGAGCGCCAAAAGCTCATGTTCATGGTGTTGTTTCTTCTTCTAGAAGAGGCGGGCGGTGCTGGTGCGCTACCACGCCGCAGCGGCGGGATGGTCGCAGCGGGACCTGCAGCGCCACGCGGTGCACGTGGCCGCGTGGGCCCTCGAGGAGGCTGGTTTTATGTCCCCTGGATTCTTTTGAGGCGCCACCACTGGGCTGGGCATGCCCAAGACGACCATATCCGAAACTCGCTCAGGCATGCTCAAAGGCACTAGTGATGCCAACTTGCACATGTGGCAGTTGGCCAGGATTAGAAGGTGGAACCTGCCAAATCAAGTGTACTTTTGTATCCTACGTCTCTCGATCCATGCCTCCTACATTCCTGTAGCAACGTGGCCCTCTCGCATTTTCTCTCCAATCAAAAGTGCGACTTTACGACGCACGCCCAACGACCCCACGCGACCGTCTAACGCACGCAGGCCTGATCTGGCCTCCCAAAGTCTTACAATCATCGGGCGGGGCTACGACAAGGAACGATAAGTCCCGTCCAGAGCGTTCAGGAACGCTCTCGGAGCGCCCCGGAAAGCTCTGTGAAGGTTTCGGACCCCGAGACATTCTCCGAAACCGCCATATGTAAGAAATTCTCGATGTAACCTCACCCGATTTCGTTACCTTTCTGGCCTCGTCTTACATAAGTTTAGGAACCCGTTAAGGACCCCCCCCCCTTCCGGTGAAGTGATAACGCATCCAGCACCCCGAAGCGTTATTTTGGCATCTTGAGGAGGAGATGGGGGAGGGAGGATGACGAGGAGGAGCAGGAGGAGAAGCAGGACCAGTGGAAACCGAAGAATCATCAGCTATGTTTGAATTGACCCTTCCTCCAAACTCTCTCTTCATAGGCCCCTGCAGCGGTTCATTTCCATGAAGGGAACTGCCTCGTTGGAAGACAACTGTTTTAAGATCCAGAAGCGTGCGAAAACAATGTCCTCGGGATTTTATCGCCACGTATCAACCTGGCTGCTGCGTCTTGACCATCCAGAACCGTGCCAAAACGCCAATTCTGTGACTTCAACACAGCGAATACATTTGACTGTTGCGCCCGCATAATCTTGAATCCTTCCAAAGCACAATTTCTGGTGCGTTGATCGTGGGTTTCCGTGAAAGTCTTGCCAAGTTTAAAAATCAAATGTGCGTGGCGCTAAGGCAAAACCGCATTTTGAAAAGGGACCGCCCTCAATCCGTGAAGCTCTTGCAAACGTTTAAGACGAGTGTGCGTGGCGCTAAGGCGAGAGTCACATTTTGAAAACGACCCGCCCTCAATCCGTGAAACTCTTGCAAATGTTAAAAACGAATGTGCGCGGCGCTAAGGCAAAAGCCACGTTTTGAAAAGGGACCGCCCTCATTCCGTGAAACTTTGCAAATGTTTAGACGAGTGTGCGCGGCGCTGAGGCGAGAGCCACATTTTGAAAACGATCCTACCTCAACAAGGCAAGGGGCAAATTTTGAAAACGACCCGCCCTCCATCCGTGAAACTCTTGCACATTGTTAAGACGAATGTGCGCGGCGCTACGGCGAGAGCCACATTTTTGAAAACGACCCACCCTCAATCAGTGAAAGCCTTGCAATTGTTTAAGACGAGTGTTCGCGGCGCTAAGGCGAGAGCCACATTTTGAAAACCACCCGCCCTCCATCTGTGAAGCGGCTGTCACTTTTTAAGTTTCAGAGTCATAGGTGGTGAGGAAGTCTCAGGCGAAACGCCCGGCCCGCCCCAAAATTTGCTTCGGGGTGCGACAGGGAGAAGTTATCTATGAGGACAAGGAATGGGCGGAGGAGGAGGAGGAGGAGCAGGACGAGGACGGTGAAGGAGCAGGAGGAGAAGGAGGAGGACGGGGAGAAGGAGGAGGAAAAGGAGGAGGAGGAGCAGGAGGAGGAGGAAAAGGAGGAGAAGGAGGAAGAGCAGCAGGAGGAGGAGGAGAAGGGGGACACGGAGCCCGAGGCTGGAGCCGCCGCCCCCGGCGCCCCCGAGGCCGCCGCTGGCGGCGGGGAGCTGGGCCCGGCGCGGGTGCTCGCCGCGCTGCTGCGCCGCTGTAGGGGCCCGCTGTCGCCCTGGTTGCGCCCACGTAAGTCGGGCATGTCTTTCCACAGGAGGAATGTTCATGCGTAGTCAACGAATAGTCTGGGGACGAATTGTTTGTATGTTTGTTGTTGTTGTTGCTGCCATGTTTGAGTACCTTTTCTGGCAGCTCTCATTTTTCGTCCACAATCCGCCTGTAGGAGGACACGCCTGACCTGAGGCTGCGCGCCACGCTGCAGCTGGTGCTGGACTTCGAGGGCTGTTTTTACGGTGTTGTCTTACCGTTTTTCTCACCGTTTTTTTCTCGGAGGAGCAAAAGGTGCCCATACTTCTACCCTCCCCTCGTTTTCCCTTTTTGGGGCCTCCTGGGAGGATCTCGTCGCCACCGCTGGATTCGACTCGAAATCCTGGTCAGAACGCGCCCCGGGAGAAGTCCGGGGAGTAGCGGTATTGGTAACCTTTGGTTTCCCCGTTTTGATAGTTTCTTTCACCATTTTCTCACCGCTTTTGTTCCACCATTTTTGTTCACCCATGTTTGTTGAAAGTGCAGAGCCGTTTGTTCACCGTGCTCGGAAAGCGTCTCTTGAAACTGGAAGCGAGGAAAAGCGGCGACAAGGAACGGCAGAATCAACAGTTCCTGAATTGGAGCCGGCACTGGAAACTGCAAAAACTGGCGACCGGAAGCGGCAACAAAGCGGCGACGGAATTTGCAAGAGAACGGCGAGACGGAACCGGCACAAAAACGACTCTGTCGTTTCCAGGGCCCACTAAGGTGTTGGAACTTCGTATCGTCTGACCGACACCCATCGCTGACCCACCGACGTGGTTTTCGGTCGTCTTCGTCGGTTCTCCGCGGGTTTCCAGCCTCGGGGTGCCTTCAGCGGCTGCGTCTCGCTGGGAGCGTTCCAGGGTTGCCCAGGTCGCATTTTTCCAGCCGCCTGAGGCCTCGAGCTACGGGCCTGATCGCGGCGATGCAGCTCAGCATCGCTTGGCCAGGGGGGCAGTCGGGCAGGGGCCCATGCCGCGCCCACGGGGATATGTCGGATAGGGGTCGGTTAAACGATGCTCAGGAGCAGCGAGGCTGCGACGGAGCCGCCCACGGCCGAGGCTGGGCCGAGCTGCGAGAGAGCGCGGCCAGGCTGCAACGGAGGGCCCGGCGGGGGTGCGGCAGCTCCGTTGCGGAGGGCCGGTCGGGGCCCGGCTCGCCGCGGCTCGCCGCGGGCGCCTGCGCCGCAGGTCCGCCCCACGGTCAAGTCGGGCGTGTCCTTCACACGAGGAATATTCGGAAATGGTAGTCTGGGAAGTTATTGACTATGCTTGATGTGTTTTTGCATATTTTGTAGACCAGTTGTTATATGTCGTCCAAAATCCGCCTGTAGGGGGACACGCCCGACTTAACCCCGCGATCACCTGTGCGCAGGTCTGAAGCAGAAGCGTTAGATCGTAAATCGCGGAGCCTTCCGCTCGCACTGGACGGAGTGCGCAGCGGCGAGTTTCGCCCAGTAGCGCGAGATAGCGCCAACTAGCGTCGCATAGGTGGCAAACGGCGCCCAGTAGCGACCAAGAGCCCCCTCTGGCGCAATGTGAGGGCGAGGCGTTATGTCCGCTTTGCTCGCGATTGGGCGCGCTCTTGGAGCCCGTTTCTTTATTGTTTGGGGCATAACGGGCGTCATGGCCCGCTTTGCTCGCGATTGGGCGCGCTCTTGGAGCGCGTTTCTTTATTGCTTGGGGCATAACGGGCGTCATGGCCCCCGCTCCCCCCCCCCATGACGTAACGCTCCCCCCCCCCAGTGCGCTCCGGGCACTGCCGTCGTCGTCGTCGTCGTCGTCGTCCTCGCTCGTGGCGTGTCGCTCGTCGCTCATGGTCGTCGTGCGCGCGGACGCGGCTGCAGCCTGTTTTTAAATCCGGGCCGATGAGGGCAATCATCTACGGGGGGGTGGAGGGGGTCGATGACGTCACGTTTCGCGCTGGCGGCGTCTGGGAATGCCTAAGAATGACGGAGGACGGGTAGCGCCAACATGTAGGTGGCGATTTGCACCACAACTCCAGTGTACAACACAGTGCCTGCGTGCACCACAGCGCATGTGTACACCACACCGCCTATGTACACCACAGCAGCCGCGTGCAACACAACGTCAGTTTGTGCCACCGTGCCTGCGTGCACAACAGCTCTTGTGCACACCACAGCGCTTGCGTACACCACATCAGCCGTGTGCAACACAGCACCAGCGTACTCCACAATGCCTGCGTGCATTGCACTACCTGTGTACACCATGGCGCTTGTGTGCACCACAGCAACCGTGCAACACAGCACCAGTGTTGTATATAGAATTTAGGAATGGACCCAGTGAGAACAGTACAATAGAATCCTTATGGACAACGGAGCGCCGCTGGAATCTACGAGTCCTCCCGAGTCCGCCCGCATTACCCGAACTCCCCCCATCTGCGTCCAGGAGGCTCCCGCTAAATTGGCCGTCCGAGAACCAACTGTCCAAAGACCATTTTGCGGTGCGCGCTGAGATGCGTTCGTGCGATGTAGCGCCAAACCGCACGACTGGGGGTAAGGAGGAGGAGGAAAAGGAGGAGGAAAAGGAGGAAGAGGAGGAGGAGGAGGTGGTGGAGGTGGAGGAGGAAGAAGGAGGAAAGAACGTCGCATTCGATTATCAGTACTTTCGTGGCGTGGCGTCTAGTTTTGCCCAAAACAGATGCTCACGTACATGCTCTTTCTACTTGTCCTATGCACGCAGGCATTGCGGTGTACACCAGCGCTGGGTTGCACGCGGATGCTGTGGTGTAGACACGCGCTGTGGCGTGCACAGGCGCTGCGGTGCACGCAAGCACTGTGGTGTACACAGGCGTTGTGTTGCACATTGTAGCTGCGGCGCACGCGTGTACACCTGCGCTGTAGTGTACGCAAGCACTGTGGTGTACACAGGCGGTGCGTTGCACACGGTTGTTGTGGTGTACGCAGGCGCTGCGGTATACATGCGCGTTGTTGTGCACGCGAGCGTTGTGGCGCACACGGGCGCAGCGGGGCATATCGCCACCTACATGCTGCTCGCTTCATCGTCGCTCGTCGCTCGTCGCTCGTCGCGTCGTGCGCGCGGGCGCGGCTGCGGTGCCGGAGCCGCACGGCGGGGAGGGGCGTTGCGTCATACCCCTCTTCGCCCCCCCTCCCCCCCCATGACGCCCGACATCGCCGAACAGAAAGAAACGCGCTCTCTGGCGCCATGGGAACGACCTAAGGCTTCCGTGAGTTGCTTTCTAAAAAGCGCCTCCGCCTGTTCGCGAGGGAGGGCGCTCGCTGGCGCGCCATGGACCTGGTAGACCAGCTGCTGAGGTCGGCGGACTTGCAGCGCCGGTTCCAGGAGGCGGCGCGGACGCTCGACGCGGTCGCCCTCCGCTCTGTGCTCCGCGAGGCGTGTGCCGGGCTCTCGCCGCCGCGCCTCTGCGCGTCCGAGCACAGCGTGGACAGCCCGATGGACCAGGCCGCGCAGGAACGCCTGAGGGCTCTGGCGAGCGTGCAGAGGCCCGAAGAAGAACAAGAAAAAGAAGAGGAATGATACGATGAAGAACACGCAACTGCATAAACAAGCATATCCCAGTCGGAGGCGTCGTCGTCGCCGCCGGAAGAGGGGAGGAAAAAGAAGGAGGAGGAGGAGAGATGATGATGATGATGATGATGATGATGATGATGATGATGATGATGATGATGATGATGATGATGATGATGATGATGATGATGATGATGATGATGATGATGACGATGACGATGATGACGATGACGATGATGACGATGACGATGACGATGACGATGACGATGACGATGACGATGACGATGACGATGACGATGACGACGATGACGATGACGATGACGATGACGACGATGACGATGACGATGACGATGACGATGACGATGACGATGACGATGACGATGACGATGACGATGATGATGATGATGATGATGATGATGATGATGGTGATGGTGATGGTGCTGGTGCTGGTGCTGATGATGATGTTGATGTTGATGTTGATGTTGATGTTGATGTTGATGTTGATGATGATGTTGCTGCTGACGCTGGTGCTGGTGCTGGTGCTGGTGATGATGATGGTGATGCTGACGATGATGCGGACCATGATCATGATCATGGTGGTGATCATGATGATGATCATCATGCTTATGATGATGGTGATGGTGATGAGGAGGAGGAGGAGGAGGAGGAGGAGGCGGAGGAGGAAGGAGACGGAGAGGAGGGCGCTCTGCTCGTTCGGAGCTCCGCGCGGATGTTCCTCTCATCGGCGCTGAAGGCCCAATCTCTCGCGCCGCCCTTGACGCGCTGCGCGCGCCAGAGGGGGGGGTCCAGCGCTCTAAGAAGTCTGCGCGGAGTTCCTGAAGCGTCTAATTACGCCGTTTGCCCCCACCCGACAGGTAAGTGTTGTTATGGTTTAAGAACAGACCTCTCGACCGCCCACCCTGCATACCGTGGCCACCAGATCCCCCGGTCCACCGAGAATCCCCGAGACCCCCGCCCCTCCCGACCCGACCCGCCCACTGTGCATGCCGCGGCCACCAGATCCCCAGGGCAACCAACAATCCATGAGACTCCCGCCCCTGGGAGCATGACAGAATATACAAAACATCACAGGGCAGAACAAGCCATAAGATGACAGAACATGGCATGATAGATTACCATAACATGGCAGACCATACCATAACACAACACAACATCACATAGCATGTCACGGCATGTCATAGCAAAGCATGTTTTGCCAGAGCGGAGCATCAAGAGTATCACATGCTATCGCACATTGTAACATCGCATCTCAGTTCATAGCATGACATAATAGCAAATCGTAATATCATGCAGACTGACATAACATGACACAGCATCACATTTCAGAACCGAGCACGCAAAAGTAGAGCATATTATTTCCTAATCTAACAGACCATAATTGTTACACCATTGGTGCCACGACGGCAACGCGCGAACTGTGACATCAGTTTTACGCACCGAAGAATCTAGTTGCGCTGCCGCGCTATCCCACCGTCGCGCTCGGGCGAGAAGCGGGGGGAGGCAGGGGGCCGAGGGCTGGGGCGGGAGAGCAAGAGGGGTCGGGGGGGGAGGAGCAATGGGCACAGGGTGCCGGCCGCGAATTCTGCATTCGGGCAGAAACTCGAACTGGGAGGCCAAAAAGCAGGGACACTGGTCACACGAATGAGCGCATCTTGGGCTCGATGCGTCGGGGGGCGTTAATGATTGTTTCGCAAGCAGCGAAAAGGACCCCAAACACACCTGCGTCTGCAAGCGCGGTGGCAAATAGCATGGCCCAATGTCGCACAACATGCTATAATTATCAGGGCGCTGTTCAACCAGTACAACATCACATGATTAGTGTAGTACTTCTACCACTACGAACGCGAGGCTGATATATCATCATACGGTATAACATAGCGCGTGAGGTATGGCATAGCCTGCGCAGCTCATAACTTAGAAGGGCGTACTGCAGCGCAAACCACCTAACACATTTAAGACACGAACGCAACATAACATACCAGTTCACACTAGGCAAGAGCTGGGCAGAACACTGTATGTCTCAACATGGTAGAGCGAATCACCACGCGAGGGCAACACCATAACATGATTGTCCGAACCTTACTATGAGCCACCGCGCTTGCAGCGGTTGGTGAGGATTTTGTTCGCCTCTTGCGCAGCAGCAGTGAGAGCCTCTCGAAGCATCGAGCCCAAAATGCATTCTCTCTCGTGGCCAAGTCCCTGCGTTTTTGGAGTTTGAGGCAGAAAATGGCCCCGCATGCAAATTCTGCGGAGGGGGGTTCATGGCCCCGCCCCCTTCCCCCCAAAGACGTCACCCCGCCCCGTGGTCCGCCCGAGCGCGGTGGCGGAATCGCGCGGCAACGCAATTGGATAATCAAACGCGACATGCTCGCCGAGGTCAAGTTGGCGGCCACGGGAACAGGCAGGCGCAGCAACGACCGATTGGACGCTGCATCTAACGTGACCGGCGTCACGACGTCGCGCCGGCACGCCGAGAACACAATAGAGTTCAATGAAATTGTTAACAAAGCAGGGCAAGATGAACTGTAAGATAGTTGTGACTACAAGAGAAGACGGGGTAATGGTGCCGTGACCAACGCAGCATCCACGCCGACGTAAGGTTGGCCACAGGACTGAGAAAGGTGTAGCATCGGCCGGTTACAGAATTTTATCAATGGAGACATGCTTCACGACGCCGCGCAGTCCCGTAGAGAGCATAGAATAGCAACCAATATTTGCATACCGTAAGACAGAGCCGAACCGAACGTCACAGAGTATAATGCAGCAGAGGCCGAGCAATACCGTGTTCACATACACGCGACATGCGCGCCGAAGCCACGTTGGCCACAGAAACAAACAGTAGCAGCAAAGACCGAATAGACGATGCATTAACCGAGACAGGCGTCGCGATGTCACGCCGGCCCGCCCATTGCAGACCGTAACAGATCACAGGGCCATTTGCTACGTTGGGGCAAGATCCAAGCGGGCACAATATAGCATAATTTAATACAGCAGACAAATTCACGGCGGCTCATCAATCGAATTATCATCCAGCGAGATGTGCGCGCCAAGGTCAGCCTGGCCGTTTGAACATGAAGGCGCAGAAACCACCGAGTTGATTATCTAACGTGACAGGCGCCACGAGGTCGCACCATCCCGTCGATAACACAACAGAACACAACACAATATAACAGAGTTGAACATGATGGAGTAGAACATAGTCGAATACCGTTAGAAACAACAGCGACACCTTAATGGCGGCTTGTCCATCGCAGCGTCCACGCCGACGTAAGGCTGGCCACAGGACAAGATAAACGAAGCACGCCGATTTGACAACTTATCAAACGTGACATGCATCACGACGCCAAGCCGCCCCATGGAGAGCAGAACATAACAAACAACATTTGCATCCAGCAAAACAGAGCCGAAGTGGACGCCGCAGAGTACAATACATCAGAGACCGATTCATGCCGTGTTCCCATGCACGCGACATGCGCACCGAAGCCACGCTGGCCACAGAAACAAACAGTAGCAGCGAAGACCGAGTGCACCACCTATTCAACGTGACAGGCGTCACGACGTGACGCCGGCCTGTCCAGTACAGAACGTAACAGATCGCAGTGTCATGTGTTACGTTGGAGTAGAGTCCAAGCGACACGATATAGCACGTCCTTTTATGTGGCAGCCAAATACACGGCGTCTCACCAAACGAACATCAGAACATTAGCGAACATCAGAGCATTAGCAAGTGCGACGTGCGCGCCAGGGTCGGTTTGGCCACTGGAACAAGCAGGCGCAGCAACGACCGAGTGGACGACTACGTGAAAGGCGTCACGACGCCACGCCGTCCCGTCGAGAAGACAACAAAGCACAATACAATTTTCCACACGGGGGCAGAATCCAAGCGACCATAATGTAGCTTCTGCATCCTCTTCTTACTTCTCCTCTTTCCTCTTCAACAGGCTGCAGGTTCTCTTCGAGCAACTTTTGGGCGTTCCTGTTTCGCCCCAGGGTTTGTTCAGAATTTTTGTGTCAAGGGGCCTACCCCCTACGACAACATAGGTTAGTTAGATTCTAGGACAAAGTCTACTTACGACCTGGCCCGGCCAATGCGCTGACCGAGACCACGGGGCCTTGCGCGCATCGTTCAAGTAGGCGCGCGCACCGTCGGGAACAAACGCCGATGGTTTCGGTGGGGATCGCTCGAAGCAGAATAGTCATGTGTTCCTAGCACAGGTGCCTCAGGGCCGTGGTTGCGGGGGCCATCGAAGTCTGGCGAGACCACTGGGAGGACGACCAGATCCAGCCCATGCTCTCCCGCCTGCAGTGCCTGCTTGACGCTTTCGAGAGCACAGGAGCCCAGATCGAAGACGCGCGCGCGGGGAGGCAGTGGGCACGGCTGCGGTGCGCGAAGTCATATTTGGGGGAAGCCGTCGGCCAGAAGCCGATGGGTCTGCCGGCCACGAGTGCCGCGCTGCGCGCTGGCCGATGCACAAGCAGCGGCGCGGCCGACGAATTGAAGCCCGCCCGGGCTGATGGCAGCAGCCGCCAAACATCGAAGAAATTGGAAGGCTTTTGCCCATGCCGCCGGCGCCTCCGTTCTGATATGGACCTGCGGCATGGGGCAATCGGACCTGAAGCGCTTGCGAGCCTGCCTGTTGTTCAAGAGGGGGCGGGCGGGGGTGCATCGCAGGTGCTTTGAAGCTATATTGGGCAGGTGCGGGGGCCATCTTGGGGTATCGCTGGCCATCTCGGGGCCATTTGAAGCTACATCCTGGCCTGAGAACCGCGTCGGGGCAATATTGGGCAACTTGGACGCCGCGATGACAAGGGAGGTTCAAGGCGCAGCATGCCCCATAATGCGTGTATCCATCTATCCCCGGGCATGCCACTCGATAGAAATTCATCCCTTTCGTGGCCCGGTTGCCTTGCAGCGGGGCGGCCCAGCGGACTCCAGAAATGGTCAGAGGGTACTTGGCACGCGGTGGTGGCCGCCGTCCGCTTGCACCTAGGCGTGCCAGCCGACGCGCCCCCGCCACAGGCCAGCGGGATCCGCATGGTAGACTGGCACGCCATCGCGGAGCGGCTGGGCAACGGCCGCAGCGCCTACAGCATCAAGTCGTACTACCGCATGAGAGTGGACCCTGCCTACGTTGTGCCCGAGCGGCCGGCAGAGGTGAAGAAACACAAGCGGGGCGTCCTCAAGAAGATGGCGCACGTCGCGATGCGGCAGCTGGGCGGCCAGGCCACCTGCCCCGAAGTGATCGAGTGTTGTCGGTCGGACCCTGCCGTCAGGCAGCAGTTCTGGGAGCACCTCAACCACCACGTGACGAAGGTACGAGGCACCAGGAAGGAGATCGAGTCCTGGGAGGCAACGATTTCCACGAACGCCGCAAAGTACTTCAGGGCGACCGGCCTGAAGAAGTGGAGACACGCCGTTTGGGGGAACCCCCCCAGTTTGCCATGATCGACCGCCACCCCACGGGCGGCACTCGAAGCTGCATGCCTCTTTATTTGAGAACTTGTCTCGCGTAAGCTTGTGGGTCAACTTTGGCGGCATTCCGTTCGCGGCTGAATGAGGCGCGGGGATCCGTTCATTCGTTATTTGGGCGCGCCGTCCACAATGTTTGCAGTAGTGCGCTCTGGAGAAGTTGATGTGTGAATCAGGTTTAGTTGTCATGGGCGTTTCGGCCCCACCCCGTGGCACCTACGGGTTGCGCAACTATGCTGACATGCTGGTGGTGGCCATGGTTCCTGCAATGCGCGGGGCGTTTCCCGTCATCTTGAAATGGGCACAAGAGCACGCTGCAAAGTTCACGCCAGTGCGATTCGGTAGTTGTTCGTACATGATATTCGCACTGCTATCAGAATGTGGCGCGCAAGCGGTGTGCGATATGTATCGCGTGAGGTTTTTGACGCCGTTTGCTCTTACTGGGCTCTTCGCAAGAATTATGCCTATATGCCAAGCTCATGCCGTCACGTAAATCGACGGGGTCTTCTGTTTAGTTCTCACAGCATCGGACCTGCTGCATT